GTCTTTATTCAAGTGTTTTGGTAGGTATTTCAAGCTTTTCTGCTCCAGCATTGGAATGCGGGGCATGAACGTTTTTTTTTATTTTGAAAATCAACAGTTTGCATTATGCAATTAAAAATCCTAACCAATAAAGTAGGGAATAGCTATCCAACTGTTGTTTTAGTTGTATGTTACTTCATATTATAGTTATATCAATGTAAATCATTGTTTTCCCTTGTGTTTCTCATTCTTTCCCTGCCATGTGGTAAAATGTGGTGAACCCATCGCTGTATTTGCTCCAAAGCAAATATTGGCCTTTCTAGTTAGCATGAGTATTATCTAATGTCTTGGGGTGGTGGGACTTCGGCGCACTGTTATCTCAACTTTGTGTATTTATGTATCAATTGTATTTTGTTGTGTGGCGCTGTTAAAATAAGTTAAAAACTTGAGTGAAGCCGCGCCACACTGTTCTTGTTTATGTTTTGTTTGTGTATTGATGAATAAAAAAAGATACAGGCATCAGCGGCGATGTACCATATCACGCACGGTAAACTGTAGTCAAAGCTGGTACGGTAGATGATAAAGCTTCATGTGTTGCCACTACTCTTTTTGTCCAACTCACATGTGTATACAGATTTTGAGAGAAAAGTAGATTTCCAAAACAGTATATTTTCGACAAAGGGGCCCTCTCAACATTCAAAGAATTCACATGGAATTTCTCTGAAGTACATCCTGAGTGTTTGCTTTTTATGTGAGAGGTTGACGCACCCAATTCCTTCGCAACTTGTCCATCACAATATTGTGCCCTCATGTATGTATTTAACTTGCAACCTGACACAGTTTGCGTTTCGTTTAAGATAATTATTCACAGAGTATGTATCTAACTTGTCAACCTGAAACATTTTGCCGTTTAGTTAGTAAGTGATTTTACTTACAGAGGTGTGATGGCAATGGTAGAGACGTCCACGCGGTCAACGTCCACATACCAGGTCAGGGTTATGGCGGACAGCAGGAACCCCACGGCGGGAGCGAACACCAGCATCATCCAGCAACAGGCTAACGGACAAACAAACAAAGAACGAGATTAGTGAAGTTTAAACTTATATCTTCGACTTGAGGACTAATTATAATAATAAGACATTTATTGGGATAAACTTTAAACTGCCAAAGGAAAGCTCATTCATAGTATTTCTTACAAAGATACAGAGACGAGTCTGCCTTCTTCACATGATCATCCAGGTAGGCGATGCCAAGTGTCATCATGGGGGTGTTGCCGAGCCCGATGATGATTTGCGCGATGACAAGGACAGGAAACAGGGGGTGAAGGCCGGTGGACGTGCCCTGGTCGCACGCGTCACTTCCGTTTCCGCCTGCTGTGCACTGATCGATGGTGAAGTTTTTCCCGGCGCCGCCGTAGTCGTAGATGTCCACCCACCAGTGGGTGAGGCCCGTGAGGATCGCGCCGACACCGAGTAAGATAGAGCCTGTTCCCACGATGACTGGTCTGTGAGACTTTCCTGTGGTGAAGAGGTAGGTGATGGTCAGTCATACACATGACGTAGGGCAGAGCCAATATTTCCCATGGTATAAATTATGTCCCACAGTTCTTATAATATTAATATGGCATGTAAAGGCACCCAATGCGATTTACTAAAAGTAGAGTATTATGGATGAAATCTGACTGATTTTGACAGTTAGTGCCACTTCGTAGCACATTTCGTCATTATTTCATACTTGAAGCGCTTGAAATGGCCCAAAACAAGCTACATAAGGAGTCCCTTTCTTTCTTGGTACCATCAATAAATAGCTAGAACCGTCTCGGATACTTGAGAATCTTAGAATCCGGTTTTGCTAACCTGAAATTGCTTTGGGTACCATAAAAAAGGATTTACCATAGATTCAACGTGGCTGAATGTAAAAACGATAAGGAAGACGCAAACCTCCGATGTACGTCACGAAGGTGACGACGACGACGGCCGTGATCTCGGCAACTGTCGCGAGAGTTCCGCTGACGGAGCTCGGCATGCGGAACTGCTTCTCCAGAGATGTGATCGCTCCTTTGAAGAACCCGCTGTACATCAGGCCCTGGAGGGGGAGAGAATGGACGTGATCTTCAATATAAAGCACGGTGTTATGTTGTATTGTCCGTGATGATAGCCAGGGCAGCACCCATGCAAGTCTCTGTAATGCATTTGTCCACATTTGAATATTAAGTAGCTAAGCATACTAAGGAAACGTAAGACCACACTTCCATCTCTTCTGTTCCGGCCACTGAACGCAGAGAACACATCATGTCAGGTCCTCTGCGAACGCTTTTGGATTAAACTAGTTGCAAAGGCAGATTCAAGACGTCTGTCGCGAAAGGACAAGGCTAGGGCACAAAATGGTGTCAGAAGTGGGATTTGAACCCACGCCCCCATCATGCATACAACTTGTACGGATTAGTGATGCTTGCCTGTCACAGTTCTTTAAAATGTATTGGCTTCATAAAGCTTTTATTCAGTCATTTTTCAAATTCATCTTTGCATCCTTTCCGTGAATTTGTTTCTACTTTGAAATCCACACATGCCCCAAACAACGGGCGTATTTTTATCCTGATTTTGTATATATTACGTAACAAAAATGAGACTGACCTCAAAGAACATGAACCAGGCCAGGACGAAACAGAACAACTTGGCGTTCGCGCACTTCTGGATGCAGTTGGGTCTCCAGGCGCCCAGGCCGCACGACACGGCCGCCTCCGCATCTCCGGCAGGCTTGTCCTCCGACCTCCCCCCATGGTAGCCGTTAGTGAAGTTGGTGCCGCTTCCACCGGGTTTGGCGTCATTTGCTGTGCCGTTTTCCTGATTGGTCGACATCTTTTACCTATATGTGAACATAAGCAATATGCGAAAGTCAATTTTTTTCCATTTTGTCGTCCTCAACTGAGGTAGTTTCAGGTAACTACTAGTGTAACGTGGCTTCGCTACGCCTCGTATTTTTCAGCCAAGCACACTAGGCCACCCTTACTCTTCTCTATAGATTTTACTAAACGACATTCGTATCGTGAAAACAAGATAGATCATGCTTTGTCTCTCTTCGGATATCAGACACCAAGCTTTCGAAATTTGATGGGCAGATTGTCCAGGCTATTAAAACTATCTTGAAGAACGACGTGTGCTCTGTTGACTTATATACTTCTACACGAAAAGTTGGATGTGAAAATGGTAGTACATCCTAGTTATATTGGGTAATTTTTCCTTTCAGAACAGTATCAGGCCTAACAAAACAGCAGATAAAAGTCACGTCCGGTGATTTTGAACTTAACGACGGTAGTAAATGAAATTATGGGACTTTTATTACTTTTATTTAGTACCGATGTTAAGTACAGTACGTACTGTTTACGAAGTAAACATTCCCCAACTTAAACGCATTTATACCATTGGTATGTCCACCTTCCATGCAGTATAGCAAACAGTGGCACGACGATTTCCAGCATCTAGTATTTACCAGGTTCGCCTTTTATTGCTGATGAAGGTTGAAGTGGCCTTAAGTACAATTGACTTGCGATTTATAGAGATTAATAAGGACCAGATGTTGACTACGGGTAAATATCGTAGGTGTAGAAAATCACGTATGTGTGCATTTGACAAAGTTTACCAACGTGATCTCCACCCTAATGAAAAGATGATACTGGAAATTGACCTTCAAGCTGAGCAAAAGATTTCACAAGGCGAGTGACAATAACACGAGTTACCCTAATTGCTTAATCCAAATCTTCCATCTACACCTTTTTATGACACCAATTAAAAGTGTGTTGTCATCTCGTAGAAAATATTCACTGATTTAAACTCAAATTTAAAGATATTCCTTAACAGTACTCGTGTACGTGTAATAGTGACGAGATATTCGCCGTTAGAGTTATAAGACAGCCTGGGTGCGCCCTCTTGCTTAGCTTGAAATAGGTAAAATCGTAAATAACCACCACATATCGGTGACCTAAATTCTAACGTCATGTATTGTAAAGAGATATTTTATAGTGCTAGTGGGGGGCAATTTTCGTCAAGTATGTTTTGACATATATCACTGCATGTCTTAAGTGCCCTTACATCTAGACTGTTGAGTAAGCACTACTTAGTACAGTATTTACAAGTCTTGATTGGTAGCTACAGGGTTGGTTCACAGCGTAACCAATAGTCACAGCCCACCTATTATATATACTATGCCTATTACAAACTATGAATTATACCAGCCATCTACACTGGGTATCCTTCACCTTCTTCTGTTTCTCCTAAAGGCTGTTTCCTTTAGTTTACTGACTGACTGACGTACAGCACTCAATGCACTTCTCATACCCATTGTAATAAACAGATAGCCTGGGTGCCATCCGTTTTGTAATGGGGCTCTTTGCCCTCCCTAGGCGGAGGTTAAGGCTTCGGCTTATTTTTGGCTCGTTTTTATCAGGATTTATTTTTTCATACTAGTATTTTTTTATTTCTGGCAGATGGATATTTCCTGGCCAATTTGATACTGTCTTTGCAGCCACCAAAATATCTGCCTTGGATATTAGGCTCTTTGCACTCGCGGGCCCTAGTCAGAGAATACAATCTACATTAACATAATATATGCAGAGTAATGTTAATGAGCCCCGTTACAAATCAGATGGCACCCAGGCTTATCAGCAGAAACCCACTCGGTAAACCTTAGTACCTTAGTACAGTCCTCTCAAACGTTGGAAACCATCTTCTTCCACTGTAGAAAGCTGATCACATATCTTTAAAACATGGGAAAGTGTGCAGGTAACGTCAGCGTTTACGTCTGTTTTGCCCTTCGGCATCTACTCATAAGCATCATCAAACCATTAAAACTGGCGCCTCCCAGGATATGGCGGGTTGTTATGATAATTAAGATGTCACAAACCTTTCTTATATGGCCCACAAACAACTGCCACAAAATGTAGGTTCTGGAAATGCGCCATGTTTACTCTTAACTCTTGTGGTTTAAGGGAGTGGTAGGTGTTGAAAACATGCTTTGCTGAGCCGCTTAGTTGTTTTTTTCCAAAATGCACTGAACCTAAACTGGTTGGAGTACAGCTAATGGAATTTGGGCCAACATAACAACAAGCCACTCGTATATCCTTTGTTCAAATCACGCTTACATAGAGGGAGTATTTACAACAAACTGGCAACATGATATATGCACAAACAACTGTGTCTCAGGAAAAAAACAGTTTACAAAACAAAACACCAAGGCGTGTTAACGGTTCGCTACAGGTTCAACACTGTCAGCCAAGTTTAACCAAAGACGTGTCCTTGGTTTGACCGCACACCCGACAGGTAAACACAAAACAATGGGACGTGCCCGGGGTCTATCTCGCCTGTAATCAGCTCTCTGGAGTCCATTTTTACATTCCTATACGCTATCTAGAATGTGCGCTACCTGCTTCAAATATCACAACACACAACAAAGAAAGCATTGAAGTACAACGAGAAAGATGCTTTCCACGTGAATATGCCGCTCACCTTCTTGGCTCCAATAATAACCTACAAAGGTTGTACCTCTGGTGATTGTTACGGACATTAATCAATGTTCACTGGACACTGTGCACTGCACCCGTGTATGGGAGTTCTAGGAACAAATCTTTATATGTCCACTGATTTAGGCAATTGTACCACCCGGAATGATCCTTGAAATATAAGTGTATATAAATGTTATATTAAGCTATATGTGAAATCTACCCAAACCCGTACTGCAAACCGTGGTGCATTGCATTCGAACCAAAATCAAGATCAAGTTCCGTCCGTCAACTGTAAAACCGCGTGGTAAAATTCCTACCAGTCGACTAAACGGAGGAGGCTTAATAGGCTTATATACTGAATCGGGTCATTGTTCTAGGTAAGAAATTTCGCACTGTTCACTTGATACTTAAAGCTCTAGTCGGCCTGCATCAATGAACATGTAACAAAAACAAAGGTTTGTTCCTAGAACACCTTTACACGGGTCCAGTAACTTAGTCTTGAGTAGTTTCCGTCACAGCCACCAGAGAGGCACAACCTTTACCAAACATACGTACACTTTTAAAGGTAACCTTGCGTTGAACTGCATCGTGGTGAAACTCGATCTCACCACCAATTGTTTGAAGCGAGACCCACTCGTACAGCACTATTGAAGTCCTCCAGCGTGTGACTTAAGCTAAAATCTATCGGCTACGGGTCAGGAAAAAATCCCCATGTTGGTTGAAGTCACCGCCGTTGTACACGAGGAATTGAAACATCTTATTCAAAGTCTACCATACTGCATGATTTTGGGTAAACAAAACTATGATTTCGCATTAAATATGACGTTGCAAAACATTCCCCACCGACCAGCAGGAAACGTAAACAAGGCAGGACCGACCACGACAAAATGTTCACCCGATCGCGAGCGAGTAACTGTACCTACCTCATGTAACAGCACTGTTCTTGTTCTTGTTCAGATCAACCTTCCTATTATCAAAGCGTAGCTGCTTCAGTCTTTGCCTCCAAAAAATCACAAGGTCCGAGTAATACTAAGGATGACTGTAAGATTGTGCCGTTCCCATGAGATAGTGCACAAAGTTCCCAGACTAAGTTTCAGCCGCCCCGTCATGCGAACCGCCCAGGGCTGAATGGGGTGTTTTGGGTACGGTAAGGTGGGTTTTATAGAGCAGTCGAGTCAGGTGAGAGTGGCAAACAACATGACAGCTCCCTTCAACCGTGCATGATTAAATACTGGCGGCTACTGTGGTCGTAATTTCAGCATGTCACATCTATTTGCCAGGTAAACCCACTGTCAGGGTTCAACTATACAGGAGTTCTTTAGATTATGTGAGAGTTTTACCGCACTTTCCTTGTTACAAACTGTAGAATATGGTTACGTTTAGCAATTTATTTATAGGTTCAATACTTCTCAATGATCATTCTGTATTCTTCTAGCACCGATTCAATCCACGTAATTGGAATCTGACGTCTTTGAATTTTGAATCCATCTTTTAACAGCCGGAAGGATGTAGTATTTGAGGATCAAAACTGCTGATACAAAACAGTTACTGTAGATATTTGGTTCCACAGAAGCGCAAGAAAGGCAATGAGAAACGGTAAAGAAGTGCAAAACGAATTTGACAATTCTTCTTGACGTTTATACCGTCCTTGTACGGACGTGACGCTACAGCTGTGTCAATAACACAGTATTGGCTGTAACATGCTAAGCCATGCTCCATTCAAATGTCGGAAATTTCCCATTGATCGACCACGAACCATAATCCGTGATGTAGCTTGCAAGTAAGGTCACATATAGGCAGTAACGATCGTCGTACGATCCCAAACTGAAGTCATTCTTGGGATATTGTGCATAAGTAGTACACATTTATCTTTCTAAAGTTACAGGAAAGACTGTCTTATGTCCTTGTCGGCGGTTGATTCTGTCACAGCCTGCTTGAAAATTCTACAACGTCAAAATTTTACGACGACCTACGACGAATGTGACCGCGCCGTAAGATGCCGGAGGGAATGTTAAACATAGAAAGCACGACATAACAACAGTTTAACGACGTGGATATAATGTATGGCGCCCAATATAAACCCACAAAACACTGTATCAGTAACAACTCCAAAATCTCCGCAAAGTTTTCCTAATTTGTTTAATCAAGGTTTGTTTTATTTGAAGCTGATGTTGTACACTGCGACAAAAGTGTGACGCATGGAGGACGTACATAGAATGGGCAGCCTGGCGAACCCATCAGCCATGACGACACGGACTAATTGAGCCCTGAAGAAAAGTATCAGGACTCCGGAGGGTGTGTGTATGAATAGCACCTTTGCTTCGCATCACTGATGCCGGAGTATGGTGATGATACCTTTACCCGGGCACCTGACCGGTCATGTCGGGACGGACAGATGAGCCAGGTATCTCTTTACACACCTGAGAAAGGTTATCTCTCAGGTAAATCGGCAGGTTTCCTTGAGACACTGGCGCTAGTCTCTACCAGACTAACTACGCTGGCGATATATAGGGGAATAGTATTTGCCAGGGGAGTTTGCCGCCTTGGGGTTTGACTGGCCGTGCAGTTAAAGCTAGGGGGCATTAACCACCCCTCTCGCGTACTTACACTCCTGGCCAACTATTTCCCTTTGTTATCGAATTCTAGGGTCCGTACCCCCGTAGGAAGGCCTAGGTGGTGGAGGCTAGAGACACGCCGTCATCACAAACGATGATCTGTTTCACAGACGTCCGTAGTCCGCGTCATTGGCCATCTTTCATTGTCCACTTTTTGTTGTTGATAAAAAGTAAAGTAACCGCAATCTAGCTTGAACTGTTGATAATAAATGTGGCAATGTTTTGGAAAAAAATCATAAGTACACATGCCGTGTACAAACCACAATCACGCATCATCCTATGTATTCAAATCATCGAAATGTTTTCAATATGTAGAAATAACTGCAAATTGCATGAATGATTCTTTAATCGATTTCTTCCCATGGTTCATAAGCCTCGCAAGTCGGCAATGAGGAGGCGTGGCAAGCATGTTGTTGATACAAAAACAGTAATCTCCAAGCAGATCCCTCTCGGTGGCAAAAAGATAGTATCAAATTGGCCAGACAGTATCCATTAGCCAGAGAAGCTCCGCGGCCACCGACGGGGTCAGGACAAAAAAAAAAGGGCCATATATAAAAATGTAACGATCATTCCCCCACAACCTCTGCTTGGAGAGTACAAAAACAGGTCTGTAAGTGCAGGTGGACGTATATGTATATTGGACCTCAGGGGGCGCTTTGTTGACCACAAGTAAACATAGAAGCTGTAGAAAATTTTCACTTTTCTTATAAAACATTGTAAACGTAAATCATGGTAGTTTATCGGGGCAGAAGCACATGTCAAACTTCGGAATATTTTTTCTACGATACAATCATAGAGTCCGTGACCTGTTCCATGATATTTATCAGTAAACAGTAGACTGTGATTGCGGGTGACACTGTAAAACTTGACATTTTTCCTACCAATTAAACCTTTCAGTTGATTTGTACTCAGAGTGTTAGATTGTGCTTACTAAACAGTGTAATAGTAATGGTGCTTGACACAGTGATACATGTTAAAACACACTTCAGGAAGAAGTCCACTCCCCCACTATCAAATAAAACTTCCATGGGACTAAGTATCTGAGCATGTATGGAAATATTCCCAGGCTTGGAGTGTACTGTTAATACCTGCTCAGATACTTCCTATTAACAAATCTACCTGTGCCTATGGGAATGTCGAAATCTATACAGTTTTGAGAAACCAAAAGCTGTTTAGGTTGGATTCAGCAATGTTGCTTTTTTCTGTCATAACGCACTTGCTCAAGCAAAAACATTTTCGGAGCAGAGATGTTAATAAACTACGACCTCCTTTGTTTTAGTCACGATGACAGGCAGTGCGGCATATGAAAGGGATGACAACTACAATACATTGTATATGCATAAACAACACTGGGAAGGGTTTACAGCACGTATTAGTGTTAAAATAGGGCCGGACCAAATGTAGGTGCTGTCACACCACTGCATCTTAACAATGCGACGTACATTTAACCGTACAGCTGACAGGTTAAGGCAAAACAGTGAGACGTACGCAGGGTTGGGTTTATCTCTTTACGATGTTGTTATTATGTTTCACTGAATCTATTTTATGTATTTTACCTGAAGGGTCTATAGGGAGGAGGCGCCATTTTGTAGGACTCAAAGAGCGGTTAACTTTTTGTACGGCAAGAAATCTGGTAGTAGGGGAATGTGAGTCAAAAACACAGAGGAAAGTCTTTGCGATGCGGTCGTATTCGTCGGAACAAGGAGGTTAAATACAAGTATTTAACCTCCTTGGTCGGAGGTCTTTGCTGGATTTTGTTTAATGCCCCACTAGAAGTTTCAATACTGTGACACATCAAATCACCGACAAGAATTTAAACGTTGTCGATAACAAGACAGCTGAATTTTCACTTGTACGATTATCCCAAGGAAGCCGCCATCTTATGACAATCTGTTCACTCAATTTGTTACAATGCATTCGTTGCAGGTAGTAAAGGGATATCGATATTGGCCCTGGTGCTACCTTTGCGTTTTCTTGTCATGTTTTATCTGCGCTTAACAGCAGAGTTTAACAGCCTGTTACTTATGAGGTCCTGACACACAGCATGGGGTAGTGTAGTTACATGTAGAGAAGGTTGGAAACAAAACGGTCCTGGTTAGACTGTCAGCCTGTATTAACAATTATCAGGTCAAACTGTTACCGGGTATCTTTAGCCGTTATGAACATGGCATTTATGTAGATCAAGCACAGTTTGTCCTTCAATAAAACAAGCTCAATATGCCGTCTTTGTAACGTCAAATGCGCTGCCCCGGATGTTGTAATTGTGAGGTATGTCTAACCTAGTTGGTAGGATTATCTTCGCAATCATCTTGTCAACCAAATAGCATAGCTTACAAAGAACCATATTCCTTATGTACACAAAATAGTGGTTCGATCCCAGACCTTCTTTTTATAAGTGCAGTGGGCCTTGAAGAGGTGTTCAATTTTTGTCACAGGTACATGTAAAAGCGGTACAACCTTTACCAAACATACTCCACGATAACCTTGCGCTGAACTGCATTATGGTGACAATTTGATCTCTCTACAACTGGTTTGGGCGCCAAACGCTATCATTTTTGTATCTTTCATTTGTATCACTAGTGACACTTAGTGTCCGCGGGCCAATTTCTTCACTGTCCCATGACCTAAAAGTGGCTCCGTCGACTACTTAGAAATCGAAGCTCTACTGAGAAGGCGGCCAGAGTTTTCATTCTCCAAGGTAAGCAGATCCTAGGGTGGCAAAAAGACGGTATGAAATTGGCCAGGAAGTATCCATTGGCCAGAGAGGGTCCAATGCGCCACCCAAGGGTGAGGGTAGCGACAAAAAAAAAACATATATAAAAAGGTAACGATCTTCCCCCATCAACTTCTGCTTGCAGAGTAAAATGTTGGAATAGAAAAAAAACATACACCACGGTAACATTGCGCTGAACTGCATCATGGTGACAATTTGACCTCTCTACAACTGATTCAAGTGAATGGTACTCCTTACAACGTAGCATCTAGTCAGTGCGGATTTCCTTTCCAAACTCTAAAGATAGATTACGATTCTCAAGAAAGTCTCCGAGCTAGTTTAGGTCGTCACATTTGTACACGGATGACTTGACTGTCTTGAATTAAATGCTAGATTAACGAACAATGCAGGATACAAACAATACCATAATGGGTTTCTTTATTTAGTAGAAGGTATATTAAGTTTTTACATCTTTGCCACGATCAATGACAGAACGTGAATACAATGTAGAGTGTCTCAAATAAAGGCCGTTAATGTGTTCTCATAAAAGAAACAGTGACTGTACCTACCTCAAGTGACAGCCTTGTTCTTTCTGGGATTTGTTCTTTCTGGGATCAGGTTGTCAGGGCGAAGTTACTTTTCCCCGAAATTTCAAACTCCAACTTACAGACTCAGTGGAGTAGAATTACAGAAGGTGGCTTCAGAGAAGCGAGGCTTGCCGAGAAATCTCAACCGCGCTCTCTCGCCAACTACCCAGGTCTAAATGGATTTTGGTGTACGGTAAGCTGGGTTTTATAGAGCAGTCGAGTCAGGTGAGAGTGGCAAACAACATGGCAGCTCCCTTCAACCGTGCATGATTAAATACTGGCGGCTACTGTGGTCGTAATTTCAGCATGTCACATCTATTTGCCAGGTAAACCCACTGTCAGGGTTCAACTATACAATAGTTGCATCAGTCCAAGCGACGGGTGCAAAAATTGCGTAGATGATGACGAATTTGTATAGGCTGAATTGTGCAGTACTTACAAGATAAAGATCTAACATTGTCTCCTAAAATTACAATTCTAACACCGCTAAAATCGAAGCAACTTCAAAGTGCTGTGCAAAATATTGTGAAATCATCTTCCTCGGAATAAAGCAGTCGTTTCTTTATCATCATCGTAAAATATATCGCGACCAGGTTAGTATTGGAGGCATGACGTCACGTTCAAAATAGTCTACATTTGAATCAGAAATGTGGGTACGCATGTCCAATCGCATGTCCAATACAGCTGACATATGGAAGTTGATTTCATCTGAGGGGAAACGTCTGCTAAAATTTTTGTTGTGGTCAACAGTCTCAGCATTACTTTGAAGTGGTTTGGCATGGCAGACTGGCGGTGTTATATTGTATGAGGAACGAACTTGCTTATTGCCGAATGACATGATAACAATCTGTCAACCAACCAAATAAGGATCGATGTGACACGTATTAGACCTCGTGCCACGTGCACAGTGAACAGAACGACAAGAACACACAGACAGCTGAAGTATGAGACAGGAGCATCTACAAGGAAATCTTTAACATCACAGGTACGATACATTTGCTGTCTCAATTTTATATTGAACTGAACATTGCCTTATAAAGAGTTAAGCTCCGGTCACGTACATTGTACAATGCCCGTAGTATATAATGCGTATGACGTTTTTTTCTCTTCCCCTGACGGCCGTGCCGTACGTGGTAGTAGATGTGAGAAGAAACGTGTACCAAGTTTTGCGTGTACAAAAATTCTTTAAAAACTATTGCACTCCTTAATTCTCAAATCTACGACATACGGTACGATTAGTTCACATTCGATTCATTTCATACAGAAAGGCGTGGCCTAAATCCGGTCCCCCGAACACCAACCATGGTCGGCTGGCTGGTGTTCGGGGGAAAGTTCTGAATCTGTGACGGGAGCTTACTCACCACACTTAGATAATACGGGGGATAGACCTGCACAGAAGTCCCGAGGAGTAAACCGTTCCAAGAAAGCAAGATTTAACTTCTTTGCAAGGGAGTAAACCCTAGTAGAACTTCCCTGTCAAAAAAAGAGTAGACGTGAACCAAACTTATCCCTCTGGCCTATACGTGGTGAGTGAGGAGCATGTATCCGAGCAGCATTTGAAATGTCACCCGAACCGGGGCTCGGTCGGGCTGTTTCGTTTAACGAAAAATCAACAATTTATATCAATAATATACGCAAATAGTTCCCATCATTCATTTTTTTAAAAACTTCTTTGTGCTTTCTTGTCTTTTATATCATACTCTTCGTTCCATAAGACTGCCCGGCCGGGCCCCGGTTTGGAAATGTGAACTCAGCCTAACCCCGCTAGTCGACCTGCCACCACTATTACTATTACCAAGGAGGTTAAATACATACATGTATTACTACTACTACTACTGAGGATCACTTGGGCATAATTATAGCATAAACTATCAATTACTTTATACTTGACAGTGTAACGTTGCTTTCTTAAGTAATGGGTTCTTCTCAAAATTGCAGGTATTCAAGTGGAAGGACCCTTGAACGTCACCATCGGAAAACGCCACAAATTGCAGTGTCTGCTATCCAAGACATAGACCCAGTTATAAAACGTCGTTGTTAAAATATGGTAATAATAAAGATGAATTTTTTCGGTCCAACTCCAAAGTTGCTATTTCTGTCCTTCCTGATACTGAGCATTGGAGCCGCCTATATGTACATGTACATCAGCAACAACGGAGTCGAACTATCACATAAAGAAATGGTAATTGGTGCCTTGGCTGGGGGAAAAGGTAAATAAAGTGTTTTCGTTTTATATTTGCAATTTTGTAGTTTCACACCATTCTTATAGTAATGGCGTTCTATTTATCCCCTGTCGTTTCCGGGTCACATTGTCACACCATTACTCAAATAATTCCGCCCCGGTACCCTAAAATCGCCCGTCTAATGGACGCCTTTTCATAATATCTATAGGGTCCATACATCTGGGATCAGCGATTCTGCATTGAAAATGCAGAAAATGGTCTTGAAATAAGTCATGCGTGTATCTCTCCTTTTTTTCTCTCAAGATAACTGGGACATCTTAGCGGAAGCCGAGAAGGAACAGTCCCGCAGACTCGCCACGTTAAAGGCGTACTGTGCGAACTCTGCAACGGTACGTTACGATTGTACAAGAAACAGGAGATACTTGAGCTGGGAAGCGTTTCGGGTGTCCTTCTGCTACGTTCCCCAGGACAATAACGGCTGTTATACTTCCCTCTGCAGCTAGGAGTCGCTGCAGTGTAAAGTATGGGGTTCCACATGTGACTAATCCCGGGTTATAACAGCACGTCGGCAAAACGTACTGCGCCTGTGCGAAACCCGGATCCCTCACGGATTTTGTAGGGTGTTTGGTCAACATCGCATCAGGATTTTGCCTGTTGCAGACAATATCTTTTAGGACATATATGCATCACCTTTGAAAACTATAGTCCGATGTCATCCTTAAATGCGTGAATACGACCATAAGCGACACCTACCTGCAGTAGGAAGTAGAACCATTCAGTATTCATTTTCTCCGAGGAAGGTAACAGAATTCGAAGGACTACCGAAATGTTGGCTCCTGGCTGTTATACATACAAAGAATTAAGTTAACCATTTATTTACCAAGCTGGTGAAACTATTCACTGAGGTATGATACACAAATTTTTCACTTGTTTTGCCATCGTGACGTAACATAAATGATTCAAATCTAGTTTTGTTTCTCTGAACTGAACATACTAGAACCAGTTACATATTGTTTGAAAGCAAGACCATTTTAAATGTAGTTTTAAATGTTGTCGGGCTAGCTACATTGTAAGTTGAAACATAAACCCACTCCACCCGAGGCTGAGTTTCGTTCTTTTTTTATTTTATTTTCAGGTGGATCCATCGCAAGCCAAAGTCAAAAGCCATCTACTGATTTATGACAACATTAAAACGGTCTACTGCTACGTCCCCAAAGCTGCGTGCAAAACAATGAAACTGTTACTTTACAATCTGGAGTACAATAAAACCGAGTTGCTGAGCGGTGTTAGTAAGGCTGAGTTTTTAGCAGACAAACATAACTACACGGCTCGTCACGAACACAGGCCTGGTTGGATCCACGGACAAGGGCATAACTCATTAAAGCAGTACAGCGAGGAAGAAGCAAGTCTGCGCCTCGCGACCTACAGGAAGATCATCGTTGTCCGTGACCCTTTGGAGAGGTGTGCTTATTTACACACTACATATATATTATTAAATAAGTACCCGCAAAAGCAGTTTCCTAAAGTGTTCCTCAACAAACACCAAAAATGTTTGTTCTTAAACTCCCTATCACACGCAGCCGAGTATACTTGGCCTCGCGAATACTTCCCCCCACCATGGCTACGGGAAATTCGATTCGCATCGGCTTAAAGCAGGCTTAAAGCAGTCTAAAACTTTTCTGCTGATGTAAGGATGTAGTTTCACGGGGAGAATCGTTCTACGTCGTTTCAATGTTTTACAAACTAAATATGTCCAACAGCATTGGCCCTACTAACACCATAGAAGCCTTCAGAACTCTGAATTCAACTGCCTCCACTATATATATCACCCCAGGTTGGCGTCTGCGTGGCTCAACAAATTCGTCTACATGCCAGAGCAAAACGGTAACTTTGGGTGGGTCAGGAGTTTAAATCGTCGACTGAGAACATACCAAGAGCGCAACCTACCAGACAAGGTATGAAACATTTCTTCAGTCCGGAAAACAAACTTATCTCTTTGTACATATACATATCTCTATGTATATATACTTTGTATCTCTATGTATATGTCACAGTAGAGATGCAAATCCAGTAGAGTTGGCAACTCTACTAGTAGAGATGCCAATTGGCAGCTCTACTAGTAGAGATGGAAATCGTATTTATACGATTCTAGCAGGGCACAGTCATATTAGTAAGGGCACAGTCATATTAGTTACCTAAAAATGTTTTGGAAAATAGACTGAATATTTTCACACCTCAATCATTACCCAACATCACTTAATTTTTTTGCCACTGAAATGTAAAACAGAGACATTTTCATCAGGCCATTATGAGTTAGAGACTCATGATCAATGTGCTAAACCGGTTTTTCCAGTTAGTTGGTGACTGGGTATATAAGAGGTAATCAGTCATACCAAGCCAGTTCCAAAGTTGATGTCAAAGTGAACAGATCAGCAGAAAGCAGAATTGATATGATGTATTGATAGAAGCACAATTCGATATCTGAAATATTAAGCAATTTAATTAACTAAATTTATAGTAATTGTGAATGTAGGCTTACCTTATAATATGATAAATTTGAAACTTTAGGTGTTCAGTCTATTTAAAAAAATTGTTCCTTGCTAGAATTGGAGAATATCCTGGTCTAACTCAAAGAATTCCCATTTGTCCTATAAAAGATTAGAATTCCAATGTCTGGTAAGAGAATCTGGAACACTCCTAGTAGATATTGGAGTAAAAACACCAGAATTCCCATCTCTACTAGTAGAGACTGGAATTCCCATCTCTACTAGTAGAGTTCCCAACTCTACTAGTAGAGATTGGAACTCAGTAGTATAAATACTAGGATTCCCATCTCTACTAGTAGAGTTGGCAACTCTACTGGATTTGCATCTCTACTGTGACATATATATAACTTTGTTGTAGATTATTTTTGGAGTTCTTCTCCACAACACACTAGAATCCAGCTCGAAGATTCTAGTGATCAGAGTTAACAAAGATTCGTCCGGTAGAAGCAGGGTTATACTCGTACATGCACTGTAGTTTCCGTGGTAAAATGTATTAGTAATCCACCGTCGCATTATGCAAATAGGACACGTGACTTGATGAGCAGTTGACCACAAGTTGCAGAAATTTTTCAAAAATTATGGCGTCCCCTGAGATTAAGGGATAGTTGTAAGACCCTGATGTATGTGGCTTAAGTGTAGTTTCTCTTGCAAAAGTAAATTTATTGCTTGTATTCTAGTCAAGCAAAGTGAAAGAAGAAGAGGCATTCAACACCACAAAACCGGTACCTTTTAGAGATTTTCTCTTCGCCGTTTCGAAGAGGCTAATTGACAATGAGCACTGGACATCATACAACCGGCTTTGCCTACCATGCCAGGTACTTTGATACACTCACTTAATAGTTGCATACGAATATCCGTGTTCGAATGTCGACAGACACGGCACATAGTGCATTTCAGAGGCCGTAAGCTGGTCCTGTGTAAAGGTCGCTTTATATGAAAAAATGATAACTTGCGCGCCGTGCAACCTTGAGTCTCCAATAATTCTTGCACACAAACCATGACTTGTGCGCGCTTCTGCCTTGTGTGTTTGACGTCTAACGTAGATTTCTCCCCTTAGATTAACTACGACTTCATAGCCCACACGGACACGATCGCCTCAGATGTTCGACTTTTCCTAAAGAAGAACAACATCACAGCGAATGAAGACGTTCTGCCGGAACAGCGGCCGAGACAAGCTAACGATGACAATGTTTTCGGGGGCATTTACGGCCAAGTCCCGATAGAAGACATACTGCCTCTCCGGGACATCTTCCAGGAGGACTTTGGCATGTTTGGGTACTCCTTCGAACAGGATTTGGCAAAGATACGAGAAGCAAAGGCAAAGGTGTAGCCGATTCGAGAAAACGTCTTCTTGAAATTGATTTAGTTTAGCAGATATGAGAACTAAGACGCGTAGATTATGAAACATATCTGTCCTGAAAATCTACTACGAGGACTTTGACGTTTTGTAAGCTGATATAGCAAAGATAGAAAATGAAAATTACTATACAGAATATGTACCACAGGGGGAAAATGCAAATGAGCAGTTTAGAACGTTTCTGCTTGATTTTAATAGATCTTCTATAAGCTTAAATCTTTTGGTTTCTTTTATCATTTACTCCACATGATTTCGCGTAAAGACAGAAACACTTTGTACAACGTTGTTTTAAATTGTACAAGTTTTTTCTTAACGAGGTAAAGCTTATTTTCAACTATTGCTGATTACTTATTATTGAAGCTAAGCTGACTTTATATTGAACGATCTTTGATGGTAGGACTCATTAGGACGAGGGACTGTCCACACAAAGTCGTCAAGAAAGTTATAATTACAAACATAATTGTTATCACACTCTTATTATCAGACAGGTGGAGGACAACAAAAACAACGTTTTCCTCTCCTCATCATCATTGTTGTTGCTGTTAAATAATTTATTTATTTTATGTGAAAACAAACAATATAAGTAGTAATAAATATAACATGCAGTACTGACTTTCATGGAGTGGAATGTTTGCCCATGTGTACATGAACAGTATAGGCTCCGCTGTAACCTGTCTTAAAGCCCCAAGGCTCAAAACTGCTGGTGTGTAACAGTCGTTAACCTCAGTGAATCATGTTTGTTAACGAGGAACTCTTCGTCCTTTCCACTGGGGTGTCGACCGTGGAGGGACCATCCAGTGACCCAAACTATCACTTTTGCATAATGCCAAAACTGAAATGTTGTATATATACATGTTAGCACGTGTGCCAGATCTAGGCGAATAACCCGTCCGAATGGAAGAAGTGACTAAGTTTGGACCCCCCTATTCCCATGAACTCCTGACAACCAGTGTTTTGCCCTGAATGTGTACATATACTTCCTGGTAAAATGAATAAATGAAATGAAATAGAGTATCATACGCCGTGTGGGCGATGACAGGCTATGTCCTAATGATGGACAAGACAAACTTAATTTAAGCGTATCAGCACGGTCCATTCACATCGTGATGTTTGTGGCGTAGAGGGTTAGTGTATAGATTAAGATTCCCAAAGACCCCTAAAGCAATGATGTGCAAAACAAGCTGAAGGGGAAGGTCGTTCAAATGGTCCACATTTGCGATCAATATTAGAAATGTGGGTATGTATGTCAAAAGATACTGATACGGATATTGATTTCATCCGGGTGGCATTGTCGTAGTTTATTGTGTCCAGCAGTTTCAGCATTACAGTAGCGGACGACTGTGTTTGGTAGTGTTATATTGTCTGCGTCTTGCGGGGTGACAAGATGTCAACAAATGTGACAACCTGTCAACAAACCAATACCAGGATATGGCACGTACACGTATTGGACCACAGAGAGCAGAACGACAAGAACACGGCTGAAGTACGAGACGAGAGCATCCACAAGGAAATTTCTAACATCACAGGTATGCAAAATTTGTCTCAAGTTGATTTTTAATACATGTATTACCTTACAACTCGCTAAGCTGAGGACACATGTACACAGTATGATGTATCTGCGATGAGGCTTTTATTCGTCACGTCACCACGAAGTGGTGTGGTGAAACCATATTGCTTTTTCTGATGTTTCTTCTCCTCCTCCTTCTCCTCCTTCTCCTCCTCCTCCTGCCATATCTTTAAATGGATTCAGCTTCTTCATTTTAGGGCCTAAGGTCCTGAAATTTGGTATGGAGGTACAGTGGGCAAATACCCCTAGGCGTTTTTTAAATTATTGTGATACAGGCTTTTAGAATGGTTTTATTTGAGTTTTTTGGCTGTGTTATAGCAAATGTATTACTGTGTTAGTCTGCCTTGTTTACCACGTTTGGGCATGAGTCATCAGAATGGAATGCAGGGCATCAACCAATAGGCATGCAGCTTTCCTCTATACTTCTTGCTGATTGGCTGTTGGGATTTAACTTGATTAACACCTGCACAGAAGCATTTCCATACTGACAGTATGTCTGTATTCAAGTGTTTTGGTAGGTATTTCAAGCTTTCCTGCTCCAGCATTGGAATGCCGGGCATGGACGTTTTTTTTTTATTTTGAAAATCAACAGTTTGCATTATGCAATTAAAAATCCTAACCAATAAAGTAGGGAATAGCTATCCAACTGTTGTTTTAGTTGTATTTTACTTCATATTATAGTTATATCAATGTAAATCATTGTTTTCCCTTGTGTTTCCCATTCTTTCCCTGCCATGTCGTAAAATGTGGTGAACCCATCGCTGTATTTGCTCCAAAGCAAATATTGGCCTTTCTAGTTTACATTTGTTCCATTCTCATGGACCAATAATAGCGTTTATCTGACTCCTGTCCGTTTCGTGGTCATTCTAATTAATTCGCAGTGTTATCACACCGCCACATAAGAATGGTGTTAGGAGGCCTTTTCAGGACTGCCTATTCAACTACAGTGAATGGTTGTAGGGTACAGGTTTGACTGTAGCTGCATTTACTCCCTGATACTGTATGAAAATATAAATTGTCCAGTTGGGCACTTTTTGGAGCTAAGCTGTTACATTAGAGATTCCCATACGGGAACTGCTTACATGTTTTTTGATGTTGCTTGATGCTCCTGTTTTAAATACAAGAAGCAAAGAAGTTAATTGCTGTGGCCTTAATGTCATTATAACTTTTTTCTCGAGAAAATTGGGACAGCTTAGCGGAAGCCGAGAAGGAACAGTCCCGCAGACTCGCCACGTTAAAGGCGTACTGTGAGAAGAAATCGGTACGTTACGATGGTTCTTTGTACAGCAAGAATTCGGAGATGAAATACTTAGAGCTTTTGCGAATATTTGTGTTTTGGATTCGTCTCCTTGATTATGGAAATAAGGTTGTAATTAGCATAATCTATTTGAATTTACGTTTTTCTCAACTTAAACTACATGTATTTCATGTGGAAAATATATGTAAAATTTCTTTAAATAACTTACACTTGTCACTATCGAAAGGTGCGTGAAGAATTTGAACTTTAAAGTTGAATGGTCGGGGCTAGTTGAGTTGAAAGATAATCCATTGCGCCTGATGAGGCTGAGTTTCTTTCTATTGTTTTATTTTCAATTTTACTTTTCAGCTGGATCCATCGCAAGCCCAAGTTAAAAGTCATCTATTGTTTTTTGAAAATATCCAGACGGCCTACTGCTATGTCCCCAAAACTGGGTGCACAACCATGAAAACGTTATTTTACAATCTGGAGCACAATAAAACTGAACGGTCGATCTATATTAGTAATGCTGAATTTTTAGCGAACAAACATAACCACACGGCTCGTCACGAGCACACAAATGAATGGATCCACATCCAGTGGTTTAAAACATTGAACAGCTACAGCGAGGAGGAAGCAAGTCTGCGCCTCGCGACCTACAGGAAGATCATCGTTGTCCGCGACCCGTTGGAGAGGTGAGGCTAACAAAATCTGGGTCTCGTTTACATAATTGATGAGGGTTGTCTGTTGACAAAATCTGTAATTTTGGTGCAGAACGTAACATGAATTTATGCAAATAAGGACCTTGTTTGCATAACAAACGGCGATGATTCGTCAGTCGTAAATGTTAACATTATTTGTTAAATTTGGAACTGTAATCTAGTACCTGAATCGGTTGAAGTTGGTGCCTTTCCGAAGGGCACAGCATTAGAGCACCTATTATTACACCGTGAAGGAGGTCAGGACCTCCGGACGGAGTGTTGTGGACAGCCGTTTTTTCGTGTTCGCAGCTGCTAGAACACGGGGTTCCCTTTGTGTAATTGGCATGCAACTTTATACGCCGTCTGTGGGCATGGCCGTCATGATGCACGAATGTGTATTTTTGCCGTTGCTGTTTTCGTGGTCAATGTAATATTTCAAATGCACCCCTACAATTATGAGGCAAATTGGAAAGGCCCATAAAAACCCGTTGTTTGTAGCGGGGGGTCGGGCATCCTTCAGGCAGACATAGGGAGGGACCGATAAGTAGTACCATACGAATCTTTTTAAAGATGTTCGCAGCCAAAACGCATTGTTCTGTACGTAGCATTTCTGTGTAATTTGGCATGTGGTGTGATGATGCACGTCTTTTTAATTTCACCGTAGCAGTTTCAGTAAAAGCATACTTTAGAAACATCCCTATAGGCTATAATGTCGCTGAATGTGTTTTCGCCCGGCTGTTGCACCCGGAAGTAGCTTGCAGGCGCCGCTGCCGCGGTAGTATGCCGACATTGGATTTTACATTGGGGGGGATTTCAACAGAATGGACGTCACTAACATCTGTCGGAGCACAAACATGAAACAGGTAGTCAACATACCAACAAGAGAAGACGCCACCTTAGATCTTATCATCACCAACCTTGGTCGCTTCTACAATCCGTGTTCTGCAATCGCCCCACTGGGGATGAGTGACCATAGATCTATAGTCTTGTTACCCGGACAACAAACAAAGACAAACAAATCTACGAGAAGAACCGTCCGTCCTATGCCAGACTCAAGACTGCGTTCGTTCGGCGCTTGGATCACATCGCATGATTGGTCCGAGGTCACACGAGAAGAGGGAAGCCAAGCCATGACAACAGCCCTGTACAACACACTCCAGGACAAAATCTCCGAGCACTTCCCAACGCGCAGTATTAAGATCCATAGTAAGGACAAGCCATGGGTCACCCCTGAGATAAAGAACCTCATATCCCTTCGCCAACGAGCCCTTAACAACGGAAAGACGTCAGAATGGAAAGCCGTACGTAACAAACTACAGGCGAAAATCCGAAGCGCAAGACAGTCTTTCTACAGTAGTAAAGTGCAAGACCTACGGAAACACGACCCAGCCAACTGGCACAAGGACATTAAGTCAATGGCTAACTTGGGCAGAACCAATCCTGTAATCCACATAGACGGAATTGCTCCGGACAACAACAAAGCATCGGCCGATGCGATTAACAGCAGCCTCAGCAAAATAACCCAGTCGCTCCCACCGCTGGACATCAGTCTCCTGCCCGCCTTCCTCCCAGATCTACAGCCGCCACAGGTGAAAGTATGGGAGATGTACGACAGGTTGCAGAAAGTACGTGTCCGCAAGGCGGCCGG